ATGTTTGGCTGTGGGTTTGTCATGCATGTCCTTTATTATATTGAGATACATTCCTTCTATAACCACTTTTTTTTTGCACATTTTTATGTTAAACTAGAGGCCTGGTGCCTGAAATTTGTACACTTGGGAGCATCCTGTGGAGGTGACGTCTCCTCAGTGATCCTGCACCCTCTTGCAGTCCAGGAGCCCTCAGGGGATGCCCAAGCCGTCAGTCAGACATCCTTAGTGCTGCCACAGAAGCAGGAGAGGCTCCCCCCACTGCCGCTGTGCTCGCCAGCAGTGAGCTCAACTTCTGGCACACTGACCACCGGAGAGCAGCTCCTGTGTTGAGTGTCTGCCCCCTGGTGGTCAGTGCACATCATAACAACCAGTTGTTCTGCTGTTCAGTTGATTTGCATGAAATTCGTGCAAGAGTAGGCCTTCCTTCCCCTGGCTGTCGGCACTGGCTTCCCTCTGGCTGCCGGCAGGCACCTGGGACCAGGCTTCCCCCGGAGCCCCAGCTTCATCCAGAAGGTTGTCCAAAGGATGTCCGGAAGGATGTCTGGTCTAATTAGCACATTATGCTTTTATTATTATAGATGGGAGCTGGATTCTGTCAAATGCTTTTCCTCCATCTATTAATATGATATGATTTTTATCTCTCATTTTGTTTATGTGGTGTTTCATGTTAATTGACTTGCATATATTGTACCAACCTTGCATCCAAGGAATAAATCCCACTTCATCATGATGTATGATCTCTTTAATGTATTGCTGAATTCAGTTGCTATTCTTTTGTTGAGGATTTTTGCATCTATGTTCATCAGGGATATTGGTCTATAATTTTCTTTATTTGTAGTGTCTTTATCTAGTTTTGGAATGAGGATAATGCTGGCCTTGTAAATAGAACTTGGGCATCTTCTCTCCTCCTGAATTTTTGGAGTAGTTTCAGAAGAATAGGTGTTAGTTCTTCTTTCAATGTTTGGTAAAATTCACCTGTGAAGTTATATGGTCCATAACTTTTGTTTATTGGAGCCTTTGTTTATTGCTTCAATTTTATTAATTATAATCTGTTCAGATTTTCTAATTATTTTTTATTCAGTTTGGGGATATTGCATGTTTCTAGGTATTCATGCATCTCTTCCAGATTGTCCAATTTGTTGGCATATAGTTGTTCATAATATTTTCTTATAAACCTTTCTATAGCTGTGAAAAAAGTCAGTTGTTACTTTTTTTCTTTCATTTCTGATTTTATATATTTGGGTTCTCTCTTTTTTTTCTTGATAAGTCCGGCTAAAGACTTATCAGTCTTCCTTATCTTTTCAGGAAACTAGTTATCGGTTACATTGATCTTTTGTATTTTTTTAGGTTCTATTTTGCTTATTTCTGCTCTGATCTTTAGTATTTCCTTTTTCCTACTCACTTTCATTTTGTTGTTCTTTTATTTAATTCCTTTAGGTGTAAGGATAGATTATTTATTTGAGATTTTTTTTGTTTCTTGAGATATGCCTGTAATGCTATGAATTTCCCTCTTAGGACTATTTTTGCTGTACCCCATAGATTTTGTTGGTTTTTTTTTTTAATTTGTTTGTTTTATTTTCATTTGTCTCAAGGTTTCTTACTATTTCTTCCTTGATTTTATTCTTCTCATTCATTGTTTAGTAGCATGTTATTTAGCCTCCCTGTGTTTGTGTGTTTTTTCAGTGGGATTTTTGTAATTGATTTCTAGTTTTATAGCATTGGGGTTAGAAAATATGCTTGATATAATTTCATCTTTTAAAATTTATTGATATTTGTTTTGTGGTATAACATGTGGTCTATCCTGGAAAATGTATCATGTGTATTTGAAAAGAATGTATATTCTGTTGCTTTGAGTTGAAAAGTTCTGAAAATATCAATTAAATCCCTATGGTTTAGTGTGTCATTTAATGCCACTGTTTCCTTGTTGATTTTCTGTCTGGAAGATCTACTCATTGATGTCAATGGGGTGTTAAAATCCCTTACTATGACTGTGTTACTGTTCATCTCTCCCTTGATGGCCATCAAGATTTGCTTTACATATGTAGGTGCTCCTATTCTGAGTGCATAAACATTTACAAGGCTACATCCTCTTGTTGTCTTGCTCCCTTTATCATTATGTAACAGAGGCCTGGTGCAGGAAATGCATGCAAGGGTAGGGTCCCTAGGCCTGGCTGGCAATCAGGGCGGATCAGGACTTCCGGCTGCTGGCCGGGGCCTTTCTTCATTCCACGCCACCCCCTGGTGATCAGCACACATCATAGCGAGCGATTGAACTCCCTCCCAGTCTCCTGGTCAAACCCCCGAGGGGACACTTTGCATATTAGATATATATATATATATATATATATTCTTCTTTGCTTTAAAGTATGTTTTGTCTGATATAACTATTGCTAACCCAGGAGTTTTTGTTTCCATTTGCATGTAATATCTTTTTCTAATCCTTTATTTTAAGCTTGTATGAGTCTTCCATTCTGAGGTGGGTCTCTTATAGACACCATATATATGGGTCTTGTTTTCTCATCCATTCAGCTACCCTTTGTCTTTTGATTGGAGCCTTAAATTTACATTTAAGGTGATTATTGATAGGTACATATTTATTGCCATTTTATTCTTTTTTATGAATATGTGGGAGTTTATTTTTCTTTTTTTATTGTTAAAGTATTACAGATGTCCCCCATTTTCCTCCTCTTTGACCCTTTCCACCCAGTCCCCACCAAACCCCAAATCTTCACACATTTTGTGCCCATATATGTATAGATATATATTCTTTAGTTAATCTCTTCCAATCCCCCCAACCTCCTCCCTTCTGAGATCTGTCAGTCTGTTCCATGTATCCATGCCTTTGGTCCTATTTTGTTAATCAGTTTATTTTGTTCATTATGTTAATGTAAAAAACATTCAAACCTGTAAAGAATTTTTGTGAGTTTATTTGAGCCAAACTCTCAACACTTGCCAGGAAGCAATATCTCAAAGGATTGGGATAGTGCTTCAGAGAATGGTGGTTTCTCATCTATTTTTATACATTGCAATCAAAGGAAGGGACGTAGGTGGGTTACATGAAATCCTTTGGTGATAGATTGGAGAGGTGGGAGAAAGCAACATGGGAAAAGCCCTGGGATTGGATAAAAAGTAAAATGATAGACACATACTTAGGTGGGTGCAGGAACAATTAACATGATAACAATGAAGGAATTTGATAGAGAATAACTGATCAGAAGAAATAAGTTGAGCAAATTCTTGTACATCGAGTATCAAAAAGATTCCATCAGGCATCTCGATAGGAAATAAAGTCAAAAAAGGAGCAAGCCATCTGAGGGGCCTCCGCAATGCAGACTTCCAGGACGTAAGTAAAGCATGGCTTACAGGGTTCCGAGGGAAGGGAAACGTGACGCAAGAATACTGCTCTCAGCCAAGTCACACTTCAGATACAAAAGCAGCACAGGCACTCTTGATCATGCAAAAACTGAGAAAATGAGTGCCTGTAAGTCCCATTTTGGAAAAAGAAATAAAATCAGCCAAAATAAAGAGCTCTTACACGGTCTGTGTGAAAAGACTCGAGTTTGAGCAATGAATCTATGTAAATACAGACCTAAAGCTTCAGAGCAGAACTGTGGTGAAAGAACAAAAGTGTGTTAGAAACTGTAGTCGGAGGAGGAGAGATGGGGGGAAGAGTGAGAGCTAATCACCACACAGTTCATACAGAAATCAGCGAAATTGGCCAGCACTGAGTTATGTGGATTTACAAATGAAATACAATGTCAGGATTGGCTTCAAAGTACTCCAGAGAAAGAAGAGAGGGAGGGAAGAAGGAAGGAAATTGAATATAGTGATGGGGAAGTGGGTGAGACAAGAATTATGAAATATTGATAACTATTGAAGCTGAATGATAGGCACGTGGTTTATTATACTACTAGCGGCCCGGTGCACGGAATTTGTGCATTTGGGGTGGGGGAGGCGGGGTCCCCCAGAATGGCCAGTGCCCTGTCTCAGTGCGGGAGCCCTGTGATCCAGAAACATTGTTTGGCTGCCTCCCATGGATCCCCTACAAAGGATGGAGTCTGCAACCCAGGCACGTGTCCTGACCAAGAATGGAACCAGAAACTTCTTGGTTCATAGGTGGATGCTCAACCACTGAGCCACACTGGCCAGGCTAAATGATTTTCTTAAAGCATAGTGTCTTTAACCCCTTAATAACTTAGGTTATTTTTCTAAATTATTGTTTTAAAAGTTGCTCTTTACGAAGCAGTTTATCTTGTAGTGAATAATGACTTGTCTCAAGTTCAGTAGGTCCTTTCGTTCCATGTTGGCTCTGTGAGATTTAAGTAAAGTTGAACTTAGCATCTTTATTTAAAACCGGAACATGTCAAGAGATCCCATTCTTATAAAATCCTTTCTTCGATCTGTCTGCCCTTCCATCTCCAATGTGCTGTGTGCCTGGGGAGAAGGCCAGGAAGATGGACATGGAAAGTTATTTCTGGATGTAAGGGTTAGAGTGATGTATTGCTTTCTTTTTATTTTCTTGTTATTTTTAATACTTCCTGTTTACATTATTAAAAATAATTTAACTCTTTGCATACATCGAACCTATTGTTTTTATACAAGTAATAAAGTCATCATATATATATATATATATAATATATGTTTATTGATTTTTTACACAGAGGAAGGGAGAGGGATAGAGAGTTAGAAACATCGACCAGCTGCCTCCTGCACTCCCCCCACTGGGGATATGCCCGCAACCAAGGTACATGCCCTTGACTGGAATCGAACCTGGGACCCTTGAGTCCACAGACCGACGCTCTATCCACTGAGCCAAACTGGTCAGGGCAAAGTCATCACTCCTTCGGAGACGTGCAGGTGCCCGCAGTGAGTGAGCTTCGCCACGACTGTGCCGTCGTGCACGGACACACTGCAGGTGCCTCCGGCTGGGGCAGCAAGCGCCTCAGCTATGAAGTGTGAGCCTGGTGTGCTAACAGCCTGTTCTGTTTCTCTGAGTCCAGGGAGCGTCTATGACTTCTATTTCCTCAAGCAAGGCAGTGGGCACTGGTACGCGTGGACCGAGTATGTCACCAAGGAGGAGGAGAGCATCCCAGCCAACGCAAAGGTAAGGAGGGGCACTGGCCATGGGACTTCGGTTTCCACAATGACTCAGATCCTCCAGGCAGGAGCGCTGACAGCAGTTCTGTGTCCGCATCTTAAAGAACTTCCTTCAGGAAAGGGCCAAATGTGCATGGGTGGAGCCTGGAGGCCTGGACGCTGGAACCAGAGACCCAGGCTCCTCACTCCACCTTCACCCTTTGCCTCAGTTCACTCAACTACAAAACAACAGAAAAATGCTCCTGTGATGGTGGTAAGAATTGGAGAAATATATGTGAACACGTGGCACATACTATGTGCTAGACCGGAACAGCCCCACCCCAGCCTTATCGGTCATGACAGGCATTGTGGCATTACATATCTCAGGAACCTCAGACAACGGGACACCTGCCTTTGTTCAAATCCCCTGAGGAAGGTTTCCTGGTCCGCATTCTCAGCAGCACGGGTTCTGACTCAGCAGCACGGGTTCTGACTCAGCAGCACGGGTTCTGATTAACTTGTCGGTTAGCAGACGACTCGCTGACACTTCCTCCTCCTTTCCTTGTGGCACGTTTATCTGGGGGTGCACGTTTATGACTCTGTGCAGCATCTGGTGACATGACTTATCTCTCCCGGCGATGGCAGACGGTTCAGGTCCCAGGTGGGTGGACACGGTGGATAGGAAAGTGGGAATATTGTCATGTCAGACAGGCAGGACCAAAGTGGCTTGTGCTGAGTTCAGGGCCCATCCCGGGGGCTGAGTGTGGCGAGGACCCCCCTCCCCAGCACTGAGACCCTAAACTTTAATTCTCCTTAAGGAGTTTGGTCACCTGAACTCCAGGGGCTTCAAATCTTGCTGAATTCATACAAATAAAAGAGTCTCGTGCAGAAAATATATTCAGTTCTGCTGCACATTTTCCTCTTGTCCCGACAATAAAAATCTATGAAACCCAACTTGCTATAAATTCCCAGTCTTGGTAACAAAACCTGGTTCTGCATTCACATCACCTATTGGCTCTGTCTTTAGACAAGTTAGCAGCAATCCTCCAGCCCCAGTTTTCTTCATCTGAAAAATTGAGCTAATTTCACACCTGACTCAGAGGGTTATGGGAATACTGTGGGGATAACAGCAGGACATCCTTGCTCAACGCCTGTCCATTCTCGTCCTCTCCGCAATGCCCTCGGTCGGATCCTTTTCCTTTGATCCGATTACTTACCGAAGAAGCCGAGCCTTTGTCTACCAGCATGCACCGCGCCACCCTGCTGCACAGATCAAGCTGACCCCTCACACAAACCCCAGGGTGAGGTATCCCCGGAGGTGGGCCCAGCCTAGACACATGAGGAGGCTTCAACATGAGAGAGAGGACCCTGCCCCTTCCTCTGCCCCCATGGAGGCCAAATGGACGATGACAGGGTTCGGGTTCAGGGCGGCAAGTGAAGGTAGGGTGTTGTGCTCAGAGGAACAGGGCTTCCAGGAGCCCACGGCCAAGCCTGTAGAGTAGATTGGGGTCTGAATGCCAGGAAGAGTGCTGCAGTCCCCATATTGGAAAGGGGTTAAGAGGGGATGGGCCTTAGAACCAAGAACCTGGATGCTGGGAAAAGGGATGAGGAGGAAGCACCTGACCCTTCTCAGTCAAGCAACAGAGATGTCCTGGAAGAGGCGGCTGCTCAGTGGATGGGAGGGCAGCAGCCACAGACCCATTCTTATTGTAACTGGGGTTGGTAACAGGTTAGTGGTTAACAACATAGACTTCGGAGTCAGACAGCTGGGATTCAAATCCCTGCATTTTCAGTTACTTGCTGTGTACTTGGGCAAATTTCAGAAAAGCTTTGGGCCTCAATTTCCCCATCTACCAAACAGGAACAATATGCCATCTCTACATGCATGATCTCATTTCATCTTTAAACCAGCTCAGGTGCCATCACTACCCCATCTCACAGGGGAATAAGCTAAGCTCCTGGGACTATTAAAGACTCACTCAAGGTGAAGGCGATGGAGCTGAATGGGCAGTAAGGATGGAGCTGAGCCTCCTGGGCCAGGTACCAAGGCTCTTCCATGTCATTGTGGTGCAGGTCTCAGAACTCATCATCCCCACCGTGGAGACAGCCCGGCAGACCTTCTTCCTGAAAACCTACCTGGACCATGAGGTTCCAGTGCTATTTGTGGGACCCACAGGCACCGGCAAATCAGCCATCACCAACAACTTCCTGCTCCACCTTCCCAAAAATACCTACCTGCCCAACTGCCTCAATTTTTCTGCCAGGACCTCAGCCTATCAGACCCAGGACATCATCATGTCCAAGCTGGATCGGCGGCGGAAGGGCCTCTTCGGGCCCCCCATCGGGAAGAAGGCAGTGGTGTTTGTGGGTAAGGCACGCCTGGATGCCAACAGGCTCCTCCCCTCTCGGCTGCCGGTCCACTCTGCAGTCTTTCTCTCTCTGACAGATAAAATAAAATTCAGTATTTCTTCCCCTCCTCCCTCCCTCCCTCTCTTCCTTCTTCCTTCCCTTCCTTCCTTCTTTAATTTTGCTTTTTCTTCTGACTCCTTCCATTACCAAGTATTTGTTGGCCAAGTACTACATGCCAAGTTTTTATTAACTTTTTAAATATGTTTTTATTGATTTCAGAGAGAGGGAGACATCAAAAATGAGAGAGGATCATTGATTGGCTGCCTCCTTGTAGGCCCCCTACTGGGGATCAACCCACACCTGGGGCATGTGTCCTGACTGGGAATCAAGCCATAACCTCCTGGTTCATCAGTTGATGCTCAACCCCTGAGCCACAGCAGTGGGAAGCCACCTTTTTACTCTGTGAGACATGGTCCAGGCCTCCTGGCCTGAGCCAGGCTCCCGGCTTCTTCTGAGGTGCAGCTGGGTGAGCCCGTGGGTCAGGCAAGGTGACCCTGTGGGGAGACACAGTTTCAGAAGGGATTGCAGTGTTGGCCCTGTTGCATCTCCAAAATCAACACACACTTGTGATCAGATCCGTACTCCATTTTGTGTCAGATAAATATGTTATCAGTACGTGAAGAAACCCAATATTTGCTCAATGGATGTGAAATAACACATTGATGTTTCCCAAGATTTTACCTGTTTACAAAGCACTTTCTCACTTATCTGAGTTGAACTCCACAACCCTGTGAGGTTATTAACTGCCATTCTCATTTTGCTAGTCATTCATTGAGGCTCCAGAAGGTTAAATTTGCTGTTCAGAGTCAAACATCTGGAAAATTCTGGAGCTGTGGCCCAAGCCCAGAATTTTGGGTGCCAAATACATTTTCTACTAGCATTCCATTTACTTATAGTATTGCCCTGCTCTTCTGAGTTTTCTCGTTGCCTGTAAAATTCATGTATTGCCCTGACTGGGTAGCTCTGTTGGTTAGAGAGTCGGCCCGATAGGCAAGGTTGTGGGTTTGAGCTCTGGTCAGGGCACTTACAGGAAGCAACCAATGAATACATCAATACATAGAGCAGCACATCAATGTTTCTCTCTCGCTTCCCCTTTCTCTCTCTCTCTAATCAATTTAAAAAATCACGTACAGTGGGGCCTTGACTTACAAGTTTAATTCGTTCCATGACAGAGCTCGTAACTCAAATTACTCGTATGTCAAATCAAAAAGTGAACGAGTGAGACACGCTGGGCTGATGTGGCATTCACTGTGACATTTGCTGCTCCAACTAGCGATGCAGGGCTGATGTGGCGTTCACTGTGACATTTGCTGCTCCAACTAGCGGTGCGTTATCTGAAGCTGGCTCATAACCCAAATTTTAACTCACAACTCAAAGCAAAAAACCGGCCGAGAGACGGCTCATATCTCAAAAAATTCGTTAGTCAGGACACTCGTAAGTCAAGGCCCCACTGTATTTATAATGAACATTGCATGTATTTGTATCCTTGCCGGCTAATGTCAGCTCTTTGAAGGCAGGGTCCTTTTTTATTTTATTTTCCTTTCTTTTTCTTCCTTCTCTCTTTCTTCCAACCTGTTTTCCCTTCCTATTTTTATGGTCTGTCCAAAAACAGGCTGGGTGGTAAATACACAATACATTATACAGATGATGTGTTATAGAATTATATAGCTGAGGCCTATATAATTTTATTAATCAATATCACCTCAATAAATTCAATTAAACATTTAAAAAACACACAGTTTAAGCTTTGCAGCCAAACAGATTGAGGTTGAAATCTCACTTTCAAACCCTATGCATATTGTGACTTAACTCCCAGGACCCTCAGTTCCTCACCTCCAACATAGCTGTCTTCCTGACAAAGTCATTACTTGGATTAGATGAGATAATCGGTATAAAACTCCTAAAATGCCCCCTTTCTCAAGTGGGGCACTCAGCCAGTGTGGTGTGGGGAGACATTAAGCTCCATTGTACTGCGTGCCCTCTATGTGCAGAGACTGGGCGATAGCTTTTGGGACGTCACAGTCTAGTCTCGCCATGTAGCTTGCTCCACTAAAGCCTTAGTCCAAAGCCTGCCTCCACACCTCTGGTCGAATTAAATACCCTGTTAGCTGGGATGTGGCTGTCTTCCTCACATCTCCCCAGAAATTATAGCCCCAGAAATTAAAATGTCTAACACACAGTAGACTATCGGTATGTTTTGTCGGAGAGAATGGGAAAAAATTAAATGCCTGTGTGATGCCAATCCAGGTAGCCCTAAAGTCACAATGGGCAAAACCAGGGAAACCTCTTTCTGTAGGTCAAAACGTCCGTGGGCTGAGCCCTGCCCAGAATGGGGGTGGGACACTGGCTGAGGACTCCCCCGTAGAAGAGTCTTCTGCTGCCTCCTGTGAGAGCAGAAGGTCCCCTAAACTTACAGCATGTGGCCCTGGCTGCTTCCCCAGATGACCTCAACATGCCAGCCAAAGAGGTGTACGGGGCCCAGCCCCCCATTGAGCTCCTGCGGCAATGGTTGGACCACGGTCACTGGTTTGACAAGAAAGACACAAACAAGCTGGACATCGTGGACGTGCTGCTGGTGACAGCCATGGGGCCCCCCGGGGGAGGAAGAAATGACATTACTGGTACGTAAAAGAGAAGCTCATTTCTCTTCTCCCTACCCTGCCCCAGGCTGCAGAGCCAGACACCTCAGGCACTCTGTTCTGATGGAGGGAGGAGGAAAGTGTGTGCGGCTGTGGCCAGGGCGGGCTGGGCCAGCTCCAGGGAGCGGCATCGGAAGACTTCATGTTGGAAGTTGTGGAAATAGGACAAGGAGAGGACCAGAGAGTCTCAGATGAAGAGGAGAGTTCAGGTGCCAGCACATGTTCCCGGGAGAGGCCAGCCAGGAGTTCTCAGCTGGGGCTGCATGACCCTTTCACCTGTTGTGTTTGTTATAACTCCTCACATTGCTAAAGGGAGAGCAACTCACCCGGAGCAAAATAATAAACATAAATAAGATCCCCCTCCCATCACCTCCTCATCTAACAGTTGAGGAGTATACGTCCTTGCATAAGAATCCTAGTACCATTTCCAGACTTCAGATTCTGTGGCCTCCTCATCTGTAAAAGAAGAACATGGGCTGGTGATTGAATGTGGTACACTGTGTACCTGAGGATGCAGAACCCAAGTGATCACTTCAAAGCATACTGGTGAAATTATTGGGCATTAGAGAAAAAGATAAAAACCTTTTGGGCATTTAGGCAAAAAGAGCAAAATCAAGTTAGGTTATCTTAAGGCTTCTCAACTGCAACGCTTTACGCCATAAGAAAACAGAATAACATTTAAGATGCTCAAGGAAACACAATGAGAGTCAAGAATGTTAAAGCCAGAAAAGCTGACCTTTAAGCATAAAAGCAAAACTGTTATCAACATGCAAGAACTCAGAGACTTTTTCCATGAGCCCGTTTCGAGTAATCTACTGGAAAGTGGGTTTCAGATTATCAAAATTACTATGAATTATATCTCAATAAAGCAGGTATATAGATACAAATGCATAGATATCTAACACAGACAGATGTAGATATGTAAGGGTACCAAATTAATAGCAGTTAGTTTGGGGAAGAGTGGGTTTGGTATGTAGGAGGTACGTGGCGGGCGATGCTCCTTGCTATAAAAGTGTTCTGATTGCTTGTGCCTTTACGTTTAGAAGCGAGCATGAGCCCTGCTCCCAGAGCTGACACATCGGCCCGAGGCTGACCTGCATCCACCCAGGCAGCGTAGCGGCAGCGCCACCTGTCACCCTTGCGCCCTTGAAGTGTGACTAGTGGGACTGGGAAAACCAGCTTGCAATGTCATTTGTTACTCATTACTTTAAGTTTAAATAGCCACGTGCGGCGAAAGGCAGCCATAGCACAGCACAGGAGGTAGGAGGCGAAGGGAAACAGCTCCCATGTGCGGAGCGCCAGGCCCAGGGATGAGAGGGTATGCGCGTGTCTTCCAGGGCGATTCACCCGCCACCTGAATGTCATTTCCATCAACGCCTTTGAGGATGACATTTTAACCAAGATTTTTAGCTCCATTGCTAACTGGCACTTTGGGAAAGGATTTGACGTGATCTTCTTAAGGTAAGAGGTTGCTTGTGTCCTCCAGGATATTGGTCTGGGGCCCTCAGTTCTGGCCTCTCCTTGACTGGCCCACCTTCTCCTTCCTCCCGAGGTATGGGAAGATGCTGGTCCAGGCCACTATGACGATTTACAAAGCTGCCGTGGAGAACTTCCTGCCCACTCCCTCCAAGTCACATTACGTCTTTAACCTGCGGGACTTCTCCCGGGTGATCCAAGGGGTGCTGCTCTGTCCTCACTCCCACATGCAGGTCAGTGTGGTCGCTCTGTCACCAAGTCACTCAGCACTCCCTAACAATCAGAGCTCACTTCCTACGTGTCCAATCTGTGCGAGGCCTGGTGCTTAATATTTTGAAAGCATGATCTTGTTTCATTCTCACGCCAACGGGGATTTGAGAACTGCCCCCTCCGGCACATCATTCAGAAAACCAACTCTGTTTTGCAGGAGGTAGAGAAGCTTATCCGGCTTTGGATTCATGAGGTCTATCGGGTTTTCTATGACCGGCTGATTGACGATGAGGACAGACAGGTCTTCTTCAACTTGGTGAAGGAAACCACCTCGAATTGCTTCAAGCAAACCATGGAGAAGGTCAGCCGGACCCTATGATCATCTGGCCTCAGAAATGGTCCCCATCCTTGACCATGTTAGTCTGAGTCCAGGTTCCCTTCCCAGTGGAGACTCGGTGTGCTCTCTGACCCTCAGGCAATAGCATTGAGCCAACGAGTCACTTGACTTGGTGACACACCACTAGTCCCAACTGTGCTCCACTTCCCTGGTAACATATAGGGTTTGAAGCATTCAAAGTGATTGGCTATATGATGTTATGATGTTATTGTTTATACATATTCAGGGTCAAATTAATTTGTGAGCTGAGAAAGGAACCATAAATTTTCATGGTTTGATTGAGGCCCTGGTAAACCCAAGTAAAAGATTGTCATGGTTTCCAATTCATACATTTTTTTCTCTTTCCCATTTCATATAAGAAAAGTTGTTTTAAGAATCATCTAGTTCTACCTCTTATTTTTTAAAATTCTTATCCAAGGATATGTTTATTGATTCTAGAGAGAGGGTGAGGGGAAAAAGAGAGAAAGAGAGAAAGAGAGAGAGAGAGAGAGAGAGAGAGAGAGAGAGAGAGAGACATCAATTGGTTGCCTCTTGTGCACACCCCGACCAGGGACTGAACCTGTAACCTAGGATGTGCCCTGACCAGGAATCGAACCCATCACCTTTTGGTGCATGAGAAGATGCTCCAAGCAACTGAGCCACACTGGCCAGGGCTTGTTCTACCTTTATTTCTAAGAAACTGTGATTTCTCCATAGGAAAACTGCAAAAGTGTTTTCACTTTGCAGCCAGAGACCCGGAACAGAGTACACACACACACACACACACACACGCCCTCCCCTACCTCCCCGCTGGGGCAATGCAGGAAGAGGAAGCATCTAAAACATTTCTACTCTAGGCATGGAGTGGAGCCAGGGGAAGTGCCTGTACCTCTATTTGGTGAAGGAGCAAGTACTTTTAAAAATGGTGTCTTCCTTTGAGGCCTATGGGGAATCTTACAGTCTGACCACCAATGTTTTAACTACTTAGCAAGCAGACTGGTCCTCGCTTTACATGCCTTTCACTAATGTCCTTCCATCATAGTCTTTACAGCCAGCAGACCCCCTATCATGGTTTGTTTTGTTTTTTAAACTGTTAATGAACCATGACTTTGAAGAATGTGCTCGGAGGAGATAAGCTCACCTCCTGTTCCCTTCCTCTACAAGGCCCGTTGCCATCCAGGTTGGGCCACTGGCTCAGTGCCTGGCTGGGACTTACCTTTCCACAGGTTCTCATCCACCTGTCACCCACTGGAAAGATCGTCGATGATAATATCCATAGCCTCTTTTTTGGAGATTACTTCAAACCGGATAGTGACCCCAAAATCTATGATGAGATCACGGACCTGAAACAGCTCACGGTGGTCATGGAGTACTACCTAGATGAGTTCAACAACATCAGCAAGGCCCCCATGTCCTTGGTCATGTTCAGATTCGCCATTGAGCACATCTCCAGGATCTGCAGGGTCCTGAAGCAGGACAAAGGCCACTTGCTCCTGGTGGGCATCGGGGGCAGCGGGCGGCAGAGTGCCAGCAAATTGTCCACCTTCATGAACTCGTACGAGCTGTACCAGATCGAGATCACGAAGAGCTACTCAAACCTCGACTGGCGGGAGGACCTGAAGAAGGTCATGCTGCAGGCCGGCGTGGCCACCAAGCGCACCGTGTTCCTCTTCGCTGACACCCAGGTCAAGGACGAGTCCTTTGTCGAGGACATCAACATGCTTCTGAACACGGGCGACGTGCCCAACATCTTCCCTGCGGACGAGAAGGCCGACCTTGTCGAGAAGATGCAAACAGCAGCCAGGACAGCCGGCGAGAAGATTGACGTCACCCCTCTGTCTATGTATAACTTCTTTATTGAGCGGGTGAAGAAGAACCTTCACATTGTCCTTGGTGAGAAGGGAGAGACCCACACGGGCCGAGCCACTCACCTCCCCAGGCCTCTCCTCTGCAGCCTTCTGACTAGGCTTTCTCTGGCCACTCCTGTCCTCTCCAGACCTTTCGGTCCCACTGAGCCAGGACGGGGTTTTCTCATAGATTGCAAATATGGTCATTGTATGTTCACACACGTGCACACGTGCCCAAGAATTAAAACACTTGAATGGCTTTCTATTAGGCCATTAAAACACTTGAATGGCTTTATAAGGCCCCCTGCCAGACTGTCCTCATATCCTCTCCACTCTGGTCTCAAACCAAGTTTCCCTCTCTCTTTCTCCTTTAGCCACACCCACCTTCTCACACATCTACCTGTGCATCTCCCTTTCTCTACCACTTCGAATCCAAATAAAAAATGAATGATACTTGGGGTATAGGCCCCAAAACTTATGGCTAGATGGGATTGGAGACAAGCTGATGCCTCCATACCTGTCAGGAGCTATGTACGAGATCCCTAGCAAGCAGATCAAAGGGCTCCAATCACTTGGCAAAAGGATCCTACGGATCTGGAAGGGACAGTAATGGGAATGGGAGACCAGTCACTGATTCCCATCACAGAACTTCATGAGAACATCCCGTGACTCCCCACGCCCCAGGCAATCGTCATGACTATCCCAGTTACAGCCCTGGGCTCAGCAGGGAGCATGCCCACTTACCGGAGTCCTTGGTAAGACCCACCGGCTGCCCTGGGCCTCCGTGGAGGAAGGGGACTAATAAAGTCTGTTTCTCATTAGCCATGAGCCCAATTGGGGATGCCTTTCGGAACCGCCTAAGAATGTTCCCTTCACTCATCAATTGCTGCACAATTGATTGGTTCCAGTCCTGGCCCACAGATGCCCTGGAGTTGGTGGCTAACAAATTTCTGGAAGATGTGGAACTTAATGACAATGTTCGGAGACAGTAAGTGTTAGCCGCATTTTAGTACCCCAAGCATATATTCCAAATTGAAAATCCAGATATTGGCTCTATTCTTGTTTTATGATTTCTCGATTTAGATTTAAAAGTCTTATACTTTTAATCACACTTAGTTAGCTATTTAATAAATAAAACTTTTTAAATTGCATTTAGTTAGCTATTTAATAAATAAAACATTTTTTCTGTAAGAGAGTAAACTGTATTGTTCGGATTGTCCTGGGATGTACTATTGCTGCAGCCAGAAGAACCTGAATATAGTGATATCGTTACTCAGCCATCTTAGCGCTCTTATTCTCAGCAGGGCAGCCTCACCGCCAGGGCCAGGGGGGTGGGATGGGTTCCTGAGGGTAAAGAAAACTTACTCTTGATGTGCAAAGCACAGATCCATGAAAACAAATAAAAAGCTGGGATAAGGGAAGAGATAAGACTGTCAAACCCTGGGTGCCCCATGAAGGCCTGGGCCATGCCACCTGCCCTATGTCCTTAGTGCAGGGGTGGGCAACCCTTTTGTGAGTGCGTGCCAAAACCAGCAAAATCTCTGACTCAGAATTCTTCTGCGTGCCAACCCTAATTTTTTGAGAACATGTTACGCCTACTTGATATCTCTTAAGGTGTACGTATGTGAAGAACCTTGAAGAAGCATACACCCAGCCGCGCTGCTGATGCCTGAACGGTATGTGGAATGAAGTGGGCGGGCATCGGGAGGCCACTATGGCACGGGGCAAGCACTATGGGCAGTCTATCTGAAGTGTACCTGGCATATAAGACTACCCCCCACTTGGAGGCATATTTTTCAGGGCCAAAAAATCGTCTTATATGCCGGCAAATACGGTAACAAAATTCATCACTGGGAGCAAATACTCACAAGTGCATGGTGATGAAAACATGGAGAGTAACGCTGTTGCAGTGTTTTAAGCAGAAAAAATTGTCTGCAATGGCATTCCAAGTCATCAATAGTTCGTTTTCGACACTATTGAAATTGCTCTTCCCCTCTCTCGTCAATCCATGTCTGTTGTCTTTAAGATAACTTGTTAGGTAAGATTATTTATTTATCTAAGATGCACCTACACTGAATTTATCTGAAAAATAAAAAAGTCGATATATAAGAAAAAAATTGTAAATGGAAGAGTATAAGAGAGGGTTTCGCATGCCAGCAAAAGTTACTGGCATGCCATGTTTGGCACACGTGCCAGGGGTTGCCCACCCCTGCCTTAGTGCCCTGGCAGGGGCCTGGGACTGCTATTGAATGAACGGGTGGGAAATGAAGAAGCAGGCGGGGTTCGGAGTGGGTGTGGCTTTCAGTTCTGTCCTAAGAATGTTAGACTTTGTTCTGTAGGCCTGAAGATTTAGCCTGGGTCTGTAGGCCCATGAATAGAACTCAGGGGGTGAGTGAATAGGAATGGGGAAAACAACATCTAATTCTTACATCCAGCTGATGAATGTAGGCAGTAAACCCAGTAGTATTAGCAAGACCTGTGACTTTGTTACCAATAAAAATAACATGGGCTTTTTCATAGTCATTACAGATATTCCCTTCAAAACTGTGGCAGCTTCCAGGCATGCTGCCCAATTTTATTCAATGCAGCAGTTAGCAAACTATGATTCCTAGGCCAAGTCCAGTTTGCAGCCTATTTTTGCTGGGGGGAGCGAGGGGGGGAGGGGTTGGTGGGTTTTTTTGTAAATAAAACTGTATTGGAACCACTCCCCCTTTTTCACACACAATAGCAGAGTTAAGTAGTTGTGACAGAGAAAAAGGTTGCTGACCCTGATTTAACGCACTGATAAGCGTATATGTGTATATGTGACTATAAAACAAATTTGGTTTTTAAAATATTTTGAAAAACTCTATTTCAACATAGTTATTTTCCTGTGTGATCCAATTTCACTTTCTGTATTTACAAACATCATTCTGCAAAGTCCGGGGCTTCATCAGGCCCAAGGTAAGAGCTCCTGCCCAGCCTGGTGGCTCACAGGGTGACCAGGGTTAGGGTCACCTGATCCAAGACTGTTCAGTCAGCATAAAAACTCCCAGCCCTTCTGCTGGCTCTGCTGACCTGCGTCCATCGGAGGATTTGGGGTTCCATGGGCCCACCAGGGCGCCTTCGCACATCCTCGCGTCTGTACCCAGAGCCACGCTGGTGTCCCTGGCCTCACCACCGCCTCTGCCCTGGCAGGGTCGTCTTCATGTGCAAATACTTCCAGGAGAGTGTGAAGGAGCTGTCACTCGACTACTACAACACGCTTCGCAGACACAATTACGTCACCCCCACCTCCTACCTTGAGCTGATCCTAACCTTTAAGACCCTCTTAAATAGCAAGAGGCAAGAGGTTGACATGATAAGGAACCGCTACCTGACAGGCCTGCAGAAACTCCAGTTTGCAGCTTCCCAGGTGAGAACGGCCACCGCGGAGCAGGGGCAGAGGCTGGGGGCCGGTGGGCGCGGGGGGCCTTGTCCAGGTGCTGCATTCAGGCCCAGCATCCCCGCCCGCAGGACGCCCTCACAGCTTCCTCCCAGGCCCAGCACATTGAGTTGTCTTTACTCAAGATTTTAATAGTTTGTTCATCGTGGATTTGGGGGGCATTAATTTTGACTTAAAATATTGCAACAAAATACTATGTATCATGGTACTCGTTCTCTGTTGCCCCCTTGAATACTGTGCCCCAGGTGAGTGCCTTGCAGGCCTACCCTGGCCCTGGCCCTGCCAGAAGCCACCAGTCAGGGTGAGGCCACGGTTAGGAGCAGGCTCTGTGCTATCAGAGTCCCGGGCTCCAGTCCCAGTTCTCAACTCACCAACTTCTTGGGACGTCAGCGTCTTCTGCTGGTGGGTGGTAGTCCGTGCTTTGTAGGCTGTCATGAGGACCTGAAACGCTGACACAAATACCAAATGCCTGGCGTGTGAGTTTGTATTCATTTGTGCTTGGACAGGCCATCTTGACAAGCCAAGTAAAGTGAGAACCACATTAAGACAGGGATTTTCAGCACCAGCACAGCCCGAGACAACTGAATGCTTGCCAGGAGGTGGGCCCGTGGCTGAGCCCAGCAAATCCATGAACACTGCAGCCCAGGGCCGGGGAGGCCGTAGGGGCGTCCTTCATGCTCTGTTCCCAGCTCTGAGCCGGTCCAACTGGGATCCTTTGCTTTTAGAGAGAGAGAATGAAGGTGCCAGGTCACACCCACTGAGCCCCCAGGCCCAGGGCTGTGTATAGGACAGCTCACCTGGAGACACCAAGACACAAAGAGGCCAGGTGACTGTCCACAGTCATGCAGCCCAGCGAGTCAGCGCCCCAGGAGGCCAGGCCGGAACTGAAAGTCAGACGCATGGCCCGGAGCCCTTGCCATGGCCAGGCCAGGGTGCCTGTGTCTCTCCCCGCGCTTCCCGGGCCTTGGCGCAAGGTCACAAACCCTCTTCACATAAGGACACAGAACCAGGGGGGAGTCCCAGCTCTGCATTGGGAACATTGAGTTGCCTGAGAAACGGCACCCCTCCCTCGGCAGCAGCCAGCTGCCTCCCATCAGGTGCTCACACAGTTCGAATGTTTAGAGAGGGAAATGGCCTGCAAGTCCCTTCCATCCCAGGCATCTCAGCCGCACTCACATGCTTCCTTCACAGACTTGGAAACAAATGTAGGCTTGTCCCCGCCGGGAGCTCGTTGATCAGAGCATCAGCTGATAAGCCAGGGTTGCAGGTTTGATCCCCGAACTCGGCACACACAGGAAACAATGCATAAATACATGGAACAGCAAATCGATGTTTCCCTCTTTCTCAACCAAATAAATGAATGGATAAATGAAGTGGATTTCCCCCTAACTTGCTCTTGCTCTCCTTCTCCTGCCCCCAACACTAGAAGGTGGGCTCAACAACGAGAAAGGCCTTTCGATATGTTTTAAGTTTATGTGTCTGGTGCCGAGCAGGGTGCCGGAATCTGCAACGCCTGGTGCGAACCTCACTGAGCATGGAAAGATCCAGGCGACTCCAGCCAACAGCAGACCCCAGTTATGCTGCAAATGCATAGGTTGGAGGATAGCTCAGATCGGCCTCGCAGTCATTTCACAACGTCACGCTCGCTCCCTGTCTCCTGCCAGGTGGCTGTCATGCAAGTGGAGCTGACGGCACTCCAACCCCAGCTCATCCAGACGTCCGAGGAGACCGCCAACATGATGGTGAGGATCGAAGAGGAGACCATAGAAGCCGATGCCAAGAAGCTCCTGGTGCAGGCGGATGAAAAGGAAGCCAACGCCGCTGCCTCCGTTGCTCAGGGCATCAAGGTATAAAGATCCGGGAGGCGGGGAGCCCGCACAGCTCTGCGGGACGTGTGGTCGCCCGTCCTGCAGATGAGAAAAGTGAGGCTTGGAAAGGGCAGGCGGCTGTCTCAGCAGCGCCAGCCGCTGGGTGGTGCGCTCACTCCCTGCCCCCTGGCTGTTCCCAGGCAGCTGGGCCGTGTCAGATAGTCGCTATCTCAGAGTCAAGGCCTACGAGACCCAGAATGGCCGACCCTCGTCTCTAGGAGCCCCTCACGCTGCTTTGCCATGCGGGTCTCCTGCCTGTTCTGTAAAAAGACACCAGGCACACCACGCCCAGGGCCCTGCACCGGCTGGTGGCTCTGCCCAGAGCACCCCTCCTCCAGACTGGATACCACTCTCCTCCGTCACGTCTGTGCTCACGTGTGCCTGCATGTCATAGGGTGGAACGAACGTTTGTTGAGGACAGATTGTTGACCTAGAGAACTCCGTTTGCCGGTCCTGGGCAGGCGTTTCCTACTCAGCTATTGGAGGAAAGCCCGGCTGGCACTCCCGTGGAGCTATATATTTTTCAAAGTACTTTCAGCTGCCCAGCTCCACTAGCACAGCCGGCAGCCTTGGGCGCAGGAGTGACAGGACGGTACCCACGAGTCCACAGCATGCACTTCCACAGCGGCACAGCCAGTGGCCGGGACTGGACCCAGGGGTGGCACTCGGCGTAGCAGACTTGTCCCAGCGCCCCCATTGGCAGCTAGAAACCCTTTTGGCTTCTTACAGCAGGAGCTTGAGCCAGAGCAGCCTGTGACTGGCTTCCAGGGTGAATAAATAACGGGCGCCTCCTCCAGGACAGGCCTTCCAGACGGCTCCCTCCAACGAGCCTGAGGCCTGGCCTCTCGGAGCGGCCCTGGGTCCAACCCCCGGTCCCAGTGTCACACAGTGAGGGTGTGGCCCAGGCGGCGGCGGGCGCACTGTGACACACGTTTTTTTCTTTTATGATCTTGGAATAATTATCAACTTTTCAAAATCAAGAAACTGCAAGTAAAATGTCTAAAGTGTCAGCTTTTCTGAGAACAAAAGTCAAGCATCTGGCGACACGGGACCCCCCTTCCTGGGTGCAGCGTCAGGCATGGACGGCGCTGCCCGTGGCGTCCCGTCCACATGCCAGCCCGCCCCCTGCCAGCGTGTCGGCCGGCCTGGAGCTGGAGGCACATTAGTGTGAGGTCCTCCTGGTAGAATCAGGCACCTCAGGGCTCAGGCTTTGCTCAGCTTCCTCACTGTAACCTGGGGAGACTCAGGGGATACAAAGGCGTGTCACATGGCCCAGCACACCGAGCTCAAGGGCCCGTGTTAACCACCCGGCAGAGGTTCTTTACTCTGTCCCAGGACTTGCCTGGAGGAAGGCCAGCCTGTCACCACGCATGGGTGCCTCACAGCCAGGCCTCTGTTCTGCAATGTGAGGGGAGCAGAGGTCCCTGGCAGGAGGGGCAGGGTGGGTGCAGAGCGACCCGCACACTCACTCCTGGTTTGGCTGGGAAGGGAGGGCCGTGCTCTGCCTTCCCCCAGGACAGGAGTGAGGTCGGGGGTGAGTCAGGGGAAGGAGGCTATGCTGTGTGAGTGCCCAAGGCTTTATGGGGAGCCCAGTCTCTTTCTGAGCCCCAAGGGCTGCAGTCCTGGGTTGGTTTCACCTCCTGAAGGAGACCCTGGAGGGCGCCGCACGAGGAGATGAGGGGACTGGCTGACAGAACGCAGGCCCCACAAGTACAGCAGTGGCTTAAACTGGCTGATTCTTTTAAGTTAATGAATCATTTTTCCTAGTGAGGACAAGTGATGCCAGGATTACTGCAGAGCTGGGCACATTCCAGCAGTGTCACACAGCCCTGCTGAGAAGTCAGCTTGAGCCCTGGCCAGGGTGCTCAATGGTTAGAGCGTCTTCTGTTGCATCAAAGGCTCTTAGGTTTGATTCCCAGGCAAGAGCATGTACCTGGGTTCGATCCCTGGCCCTGGTGAGGGAGTATTCAGGAGGCAACCAATCAATGTGTCTCTCTCACATTTCTCTCTCTCTCTCTCTCTCTCTCTCCTCTCTCTCTCTCTCTCTCTCTTTCTTTCCCTTTCTTTCTCCCACCCTCTTCCCTTCCACTCTTTCTAAAAATTAATGGAAAAAATATCCTCAGGTGAGGATTCACCAAACAACAGAAAACAAAAAAAGTCAACTTTAACTTGGTTTCCATCATTGCCATCATATCATGGTTGCAATTTATGTCATGTTTTTAAAAAAATTTTTAACATCATATCCCAAATGTCATAGAGTCACTTTAATGACCATGTTAGGCAGACAGTTACCATCAAGTACCCCCCCCTCTGGCCCTGCCCCGTCTCGGTGCTTTGGGGTGCCCTGGGGGTGCCCCAGGAAACTGCAGAGCAGATTCACCTGGAGCTTGAAGTGCAGTGCCCAGGCCCCACCCAAGCTGAGGACCAGACTCTCTGGGTGGCCTGGGGAGGGGCACCCACTGCGCTCAGGTTGGAATCACCTGGCAGCAATGTCACGATGAGAGCGAGTTTGAGACGCCTGACGAGCGAGCAGCTGGAACCCAGGCCTGGACCCTGAGGGAGACCCGTGGCTGGGCCGCAGGGAGGCTGGGTGTGGGTCCCTGGCATGAACAGAACCAGGGCAATGTGGCGCCCCGGGCACCTGGGGAACCCAGAGCGGTGGCCAAGCTGATGCCTTCTGGTCCCAGCCCCAGCTCTGCAGCTGCCGTGAGGGAGGCAGGGCCGGGCTGGTTCTTCCTCTGCCTCTACTCGGTGCACATCCCGTGGCTGACGTGAGGCCAGTGGAATGGCCCAGGCCTGGCCATTTCTTTATTTAATACAGGGATATGGACATGGCTTGCTTATGGGTGGGGGGTGTTTGAATGTAATGGAGCTAAATAAATCATTGCTATCCTATATAATAAAAGGGTAATATGCAAATCAACCAAACTGCTGAATAACTAGTCACTATGATGCGCACTGACCACCAGGACGCAGACGCTCAATGCAGGTGCTGCCCCTGGTGGTCAATGCGCTCCCACAGGGGGAGTGCTGTTCAGCCACAAGCTGGGCTGATGGCTGGCGAGCATAGTGGTCAACCTCTGTGGCAGCAGTAAGGATGTCCAACTGATGACTTAGGCCCACTTCCCACAGAGCGCAGGCCTAAGCCATCAGCTGGACATCCCCTGAAAGCTCCCAGACTGTGAAAGGGCACATGCTGGGCTGAGGGACCCCCCTCCCCCCACCGAGTGCACAAATGTTGTGCACCAAGCCTCTAGTAGGTTTCTAAGAGAGCGGAAAACCTCTAATAAAGAATCCATGATACACATACCCATACATGCATACATACACACACACATATGTGGAAAGCAGGACCACCTGTGTTGGTTTGCCCATCATCATAACCTGCAGGATCTAGACGCCAGGGCTCGCTGCTCTGCCTCAGACTCAAGCTCCCCGTGGAGTCTGCTCACCGGCGGGGGATCACCTGGGCTGCTGGCAAAGCTGGGAGTCAGGCTTGGAGCTTGGTGCCATACCTGACCAGCTGTGGAAACTGAGCTAACTCATTTGCTTCCTGAAACCTTGTTTTTATTTTTCTTTCTTATTTAGTCATTAGACCTCTAACTAATCTATAAGAACCCTTCCTGTTCTAAAAGTTTCATAATGTTAAGCTTTCTTTTTTTTCATTGAGATGTAACTCACATACCATTAGATCCACCCTTTTAAATTATGCAATTGTGGCTTTTCGCATTTTCACAGAGTTGTACAACCACCGGCATTATTTAAATCCAGAATATTTTCCTCCCCACAAGCAGCCCCCGACTCCCCTCCAGCCCCTGGCAGCCACTCGCCAACTTCCTGCCTCACAGGATTTCTCTGCACATGCATGTGTATGGGATCACGGCGGCCGGGGTTCTGTGTCTGGCTCCTGTCACTCAGCATGAAGTGTTCAAGGCTTATGTCTGTGTTATTTCATGAGTCAGTATTTTTATGGCTGATTTTTCAGTGTGTTAATTTTGTTTTTATTTTATTTTATTTTTTAAAAATATATTTTATTGATTTTCCACAGAGAGGAAGGGAGAGAGATAGAGAGTTAGAAACATCAATGAGAGAAACATCGATCAGCTGCCTCCTGCACATCCCCTAGTGGGGACATGCCCGCAACCCAGGTACATGCCCTTGACCGGAATCAAACCTGGGACCTTTCAGTCCGCAGGCCGATGCTCTATCCATTGAGCCAAACCGGTTTCGGCTTAATTTTGTTTTTAAATGAAGAAATAATGTCTCCTCCCAGATGTCACTAGCCAACTCCCGTCTCTATGCCTGTTCCTCATTCCTACACTCGAACTTGCATCCCCCTGAGCTGCGTCCTGTCCCCGCCCCTGCCCCTGCCCCTCGCTGAGCTGAGCCGCAGAGATCCCGCCCCTCCCCACTCAGCTCCTGCACCTTCATCTTCCCTGGACTGGCCCTGACCCTCTTCCCATCTGTCACTCAGCTGTGAAGACTCATCCTTCATCGCTCAACCCATCCTTGGTCCCCACTACATATATCTCTTGGAAATTTTTTTTTAAAACAAAGGCTTGCCCAAACCAGTTTGGCTCAGTGGATAGAGCGTCGGCCTGCGGACTGAAAAGTCCCAGGTTCGATTCTGGTCGAGGGCATGTGCCTTGGTTGTGGGCACATCCCCAGTAGGGGGTGTGCAGGAGGCAGCTGATCGATGTTTCTCTCATTGATGTTTCTAACTCTCTATCCCTCTCCCTTCCTCTCTGTAAAAAATCAATAAAATATATTTTAAAAACACACACACAAAAAAAAAAAACCCAAAGGCTTGATTTTTTTAAAGATTACAAACCATCTGAATCCCTAAACATCCAAGGCATCCAGGCTGCAGCCCTCAAGGGCCGGGCTGGCCTCCCTGCACCCAGGGCCCTGGGCACCTTCCCGGAGGAACGGCCGTGGGCAATGCCTTTGCCCACCCCACCCGGACAGTTTTCTCCAGGAGCAGAGCCTCATCCTCCCCCATGCCAGGCATGCCAGGCGCTGCGCTCACCCCTTTGTCCCCATGTGCCCGCAGGACGAGTGTGAGGGGGACCTGGCCGAGGCCATGCCAGCACTGGAGGCCGCACTGGCTGCGCTCGACACCCTGAACCCAGCGGACATCTCCATGGTGAAGTCCATGCAGAACCCGCCCGGCCCCGTCAAGCTGGTCATGGAGAGCATCTGTGTCATGAAAGGGCTGAAACCTGAGAGGAAGCCGGACCCCAGTGGCACGGGTAACCCGCCCAGCGCGTGGCGCACACACACACACACACACACACACACACCCGCCCTGCAGGCAGTGTGCGCAGTCTCGGAGGAAGCCAGAGGGGCGCCTCTGTGCCTGTGCTCCAGACCGGAGAGCTCCCCGTGCCTCCTCCCCGCCCCCTCCTCCCAGGAGCCAGGAACATGCTGGTGTCGCAGGAGAGCTGAGCAGTCAAAGCTCCTGCCTGCAAATCATTACAAAGACGAAGGTCAGGGAGACCGACAGGCACATGAACAGGGAGAGATCCGAGGAAGGAATTAGGAGGCGGATGGAGACAGCGACAGAGAGAGGATGGGGGACAGACTCAAGCACAGTGTCAGACAGAGAAACGGGAGAGACGGCATGGAGGCTGTGAAGAGAAACACGAAGACAGAACACAAAGGCTGCCAGTGAGAGAGAAATGGAGACGGACACAGAGGTACAGAGACAGAGAGACATGCAAACGTAGAGCACGTGGGAGAAGAGAGACAAGGAGACAAAGACACTACGGGAGAAGAGGGAGGAGGAATATGAGATGGTAGAGGAGGACCTGAGGCAGAGAGATGAGCAGAGGGAGGCAGAGGCAGGCTGGGAGGGAGGTGGGGAGACAAGGATTCCAGGGAGAGAGGAGAGCGCCTTATATAAGTGAGACTAGCCGCATTAATAGGTAAATGTTCAGTCTCCTTAAAATCAGATTTCCATGTAGGGTCTTGTATGAAGACAGGTGCCTTGGAATTGAACGAGGTTGAGGCTTCCGCTTCCCATTGCTTAGCACTGCCTCTTTCCTGGTGGTGGTGGCCGCAGCCCCATGAAGGAGACGCAGAAGGAATGGGGAATGGACAAGCCGGTGTGGACTTGACAGGGGCCGTTAGGGCAGCAGGTGCGGGGTGTTCAGTGGGGCTGAGCTAGGTGAGCCAGCCAGCACATCCCCACTCGGGGCACCCAGGACCTGCGGGGCATGAAGAGCTGAAGCCGGCCCTGCCGGCGCCTCTTTGAGAGCCGTGGGATCCTCACTCAGTTGGCCTGGGCATGGCCTCTGTGTGAATTTGTATTTTTTTTGAACTCTTGTGTGTTTCGAAGGTGCAGCCAGGGTGGAGAACGGTCCACACACCATAGCCAGGCCCCAGAAGTCATTTCTTTTCTTGGATCATTGGTGATCCACACAGGACCCATTGTTCGCCTCTCTAGCTCAAAGGCAAAGCAAATTGTGTGCACTACTCACCTAACCTGCAGCATTCAGCCAGGACAGGGGCTGCAGCAAAAGAGCAATCGAGGTAGTTTGGGCATCCTGGATTTACGTGGAGTGGGTCACCCTCCTGACGGTAAACAAAAACCTCCATGGGAATGTCTGACCACTGTGCTTGAGTTGGAAACAGGACACATTTGAGCTGTTGTAATTAACATGATGCCTCGAGTACAGCTTTTTTAATGCTCACCCAAGGACTTTCATTGAGTTGTGTCTATTTTTTTTTTAATACTCACCCAAGGATATGTTTGATTTTAGAGAGGAAGGGAGAGAAAGTGAAACATCAATGTGAGACAGAAACATCAATCGGTTGCCCGACCAGGGGTGGAACCTGCAACCTAGGCATGTGCCCTGACCTGGAATCAAACCCTCCACCGTGGATGACGCTCCAAACAATTGAGCCCGTAACCAGGACTCATGGACGCTTGTTAGGATGAGCGATGGTTGCAGAGCCATGAGCCAAAAGGCCTCCAACCTTTCCAACCTGTCAGCCTTTTAGGAGCCGCCTGGGGTGAGGTCAGGGCTCACTCAGCCCGGGGTCAGCGTGACGAGGGCTAAGGAGAACAGGCCAGCTTCGTCTTGGGCAGGTGGCAGAGGGCCTCTGTCCGGCTGCAGTCTTCTCCCCCACTCGCCTTCTCTTGGGCCCCCACTCACTCACGAGGAGGACGTTTTGAGTTCCATCCAGTCCACCTCCCAGATGCGAAAAAGAATATTTAAAACACATGCCCATGACTCCTTTGCCCTCTCCATCTATGGCTGGGATGAGGGGCAACATTCATTCAACACAGACCGATGACCGAGTCTCAGGCACTGTGCGGAGAACAGTAAACACAGACCACTCACCGCTGTGAGGGAGAGGCCGCAATAAAAAGTAAGCAAAAAGTCACAGCTTGCAACAGATGCTGTAAAAAGAACAGACGCTCTAGCTGCTGAGATGAAGGGCAATGCTGGGGGAGGGGTGCAGGGGCCGCTTGTTGGGGCTCATCTAGGGAAACCCCTCTGTGGCCCATGAGGGTGGCTTCTAAAATGAGCCCCCAGTCTGGTCGGGGGCATCGCTGCAGGAGGCCCTTCATGACTGGCGTCCGAAGAGCAAGGCAGCAATGAGGGGTGAGGTCAGTAGGCCTCCCAGACCATGGTGAGGAGCTTAGCCTTTCCTTTTCTTATTTAGATTTTGTATCTTTAAAGCAGCTTTAAGTTCACATCAAAGAGGTTTCCCATATTCCCCTGCCCTCACCCATGCACAGTCTCTCCCATCCATTACCAACACCCGCCACCACAGCAAACCTACACGGACACCTCAGAATCACCCAAAGCCCATAGTTTACACGATTGAATGCTCTTGGAGGAGCACATTCTATGGGTTTGGCCAAACGTATAAGGACGGGTCCATCGTTATGGCATCATACAGAGTATTTTCTCTGCCCTTAAAGTCCTCTGTGGGATTTGAATTTTTTTGCCAGATCCGAGGAACCGTCACTGCAAAGCTTTAAGTCTCAGCCAGAAATCTTAATGATAGTCTTATGCCTTTGCTCACCTGACAGGCAAAATGATAGAAGATTACTGGGGGGTATCAAGAAAGGTTCTTGGCGACCTGAAGTTCCTGGAGAGCCTTAAGACGTACGACAAAGACAACATCCCCCCAATGATCATGAAACGGATCCGGGAGAGATTTATCGACCACCCCGATTTCCAGCCGGCCGTCATTAAAAACGTGTCATCTGCCTGTGAGGGTCTGTGCAAGTGGGTGAGAGCCATGGAGGTGTACGACCGCGTGACCAAGGTGGTCGCTCCCAAGCGGGAGCGGCTGAGGGAGGCAGAGGGGAAGCTGGACATCCAGATGCAGAAGCTGAACCTGAAGAGAGCAGAGCTGAAGCTGGTGGAGGACCGCCTCCAGGCCCTGAACGATGAGTTTGAGGAGATGAACATCAAGAAGATGACCTTGGAAGAAAACATTGATATCTGCTCCCAAAAGCTCGTCAGGGCAGAAAAGCTCATCAGCGGTCTTGGGGGAGAGAAGGAGCGGTGGACAGAGGCTGCCCGGCAGCTGGGGATCCGCTATACTAATCTGACGGGGGACGTGCTGGTGTCTGCGGGGACGGTGGCTTACCTGGGGGCCTTTACCGTGGATTATCGGGCCAAGTGCCAAAATCAGTGGCTGGCCCAGTGTAGCAAGAGGGTCATCCCCGGCTCCAGTGACTTCAGCCTCAGCAACACGTTGGGGGATCCCATCAAAACCCGGGCCTGGCAGATCGCCGGGCTGCCTGTCGATTCCTTCTCCATCGACAACGGCATCATTGTGTCCAATTCCAGGCGCTGGGCCCTGATGATTGACCCTCAGGGGCAGGCCAACAAGTGGATCAAGAACATGGAGAAAGTGAACAAGCTGTCTGTCATCAAGTTCTCGGACAGCAACTATGTGAGGACACTGGAGAATGCCCTGCAGTTTGGCACCCCTGTCCTCCTAGAGAACGTGGGGGCAGAGCTGGATGCCTTCATTGAGCCCATCCTGCTCAAGTCCACATTCAGGCAGCAAGGGGTCGAGTACATGAGGCTGGGTGAAAACATCATCGAATACTCCAAGGACTTCAAGCTGTACATCACCACCCGCCTGAGGAACCCACATTACCTCCCTGAAGTCGCTGTGAAAGTCTGCCTCCTCAACTTCATGATCACCCCCCTGGGCCTCCAGGATCAGCTGCTTGGCATCGTGGCTGCCAAGGAGAAGCCAGAACTGGAAGAGAAGAAGAACAAGTTGATTGTGGAAAGTGCCAAGAACAAGAAGCAGTTAAAGGAAATTGAAGACAGGATCCTAGAGATCCTCTCCTTGTCTGAGGGCAACATCCTTGAGGATGAGACTGCCATCAATGTTCTGTCCTCCTCCAAGGAGCTGTCTGAAGAGATCTCCGAGAAACAGGAAATTGCTTCGGTGACAGAAACGCAGATTGACCAGACTCGGATGGGCTACAAGCCGGTGGCTGTCCACTCTGCCACCATCTTCTTTTGTATCTCTGACCTGGCCAACATCGAGCCGATGTACCAGTACTCCCTGACATGGTTCATCAACCTCTACATGCAGTCGCTGGTGCACAGCAAGAAGAGCGACGAGCTGGACCTGCGCATTGAGTACATCATTGAGTACTTCACCCTCAGCATCTACAACAATATCTGCCGCTCTCTGTTTGAGAAGGACAAGCTGGTTTTCTCCCTCCTCCTGACCATTGGCATCTTGAAGGAGAAAAAGCTAATTAACGAGGAAATTTGGTACTTTCTCCTCACTGGCGGCGTGGCCCTGGACAACCCCTTCCCCAACCCAGTTTCCGAATGGCTGTCTGAGAAAGCGTGGGCCGAAGTGGTTCGTGCATCCTCGTTGTCAGGATTGAAAGGCCTGATGGAACATTTGGAAGAAAATGCTGATAAATGGAAGTTCATCTATGACTCAGCATATCCCCACGAGGAGAAGTTCCCTGGCATTTGGAAGTTCCTTCAAGGGCTGGAGAGGATGGTGATCCTGCGATGTTTGCGACCCGACAAGATGATCCCGGCCACCCGGGAGTTCATTGCTGAGCACATGGGCAACGTGTACATTGAAACCCCGACATTTGACCTCCAGGGGTCCTACAATGACTCCAGCTGCTGCACGCCCCTGATTTTCGTGCTGTCTCCCGGCGCAGACCCGATGGCAGGTAAGGGTGGACTGTGGTATGAAGAGCCCAAAATGTGAATGGATGGCAATAGCATCCCTTTTAGCATCTGCAGGTTTCTTTCCCGCCTAAAGGGCCAGCTGCTACTCCACCCTCTGTGCCCTCTGGCGCTGTGAGCCAGAACATCTGATTTTTTTCAAGAGAAACAAGAAATGCAAAAAGCACTCCTTTTGACATCTTGACAACTCATTCAAATGTTTTCTTAAAAATTGTGCAAGGGCCAAGCTGTGGCTAGATTTAGCCTGGCTGCTAATTGGCCACCTTTGTTTTAAACCATTTTTTCTAACTATCTCAGCTGGGCTTTCCTCTTTTCTTTTAATTTTTTAACTTTTTGGATAATTCATACTGTGAGTCATGATTTAAAAACAACCAAGCAATGCCATAAGGTGTAGAAGTGTGGCTCAACTAGGGCCATTTTGCCCTCAAGGAACATTTGACAACATGGAAAGCATTTTTGTTGTCACAACTAGAGGTGCTACTGGCATCTAGTAGGTAGAGACCAGGGTGCTGAACACCCCACAGTGCACAGGGCTCAGCAGTGGCTTACCCGGCCCCGCCTGTCGGGAGAGCTGAGGCCGAGGAACACTTCTGTAGAGTGAAGGTGCCGCCGCCTCCGAGTGCTCCCAGGAGTAGCCACTGTTACCAGGTTGTGTATTTTCCCAGGAATCATTTGTGCTTATTAAAGGGTGTGTATTGTTTTCAGGAATTAGTTTTCTGTTCCGTTGAGGGATTGCAAAGCTTTAGTTGTCTCTGTTGTTGAATGAAGGAAGAGTGTCAGAAACGCAAATGACAAGGTGGGCGTGTTGGGAGAAGGCCGAGGGGTGTAACACGCACCTGACCCAGGCGGAGCCAGCACCTGCCCACGAAGGCAGTCAGAGGTGGCAGCTGGGAGCCATGGGTCTCCTTTCCAGGTTCCTGTGCCAAAGATCAGCTGGGGCTGTCACAACCAATACCAAAGACGGGTGCCTTGAACGGCAGACATGGTTCCTCCCGGTCCTGGAGAAGAGAAGTCCACGCTCAGGGCGCGGGTGGCAGCTGCTGCTGAGGCCTCTTGGCGCTCACTCGTGGCCACCTGCTTCCTGTGTTTGTACAGGCTCTTCCCTCTGTGCCTGTCTTCATCTCCTCATGTAAGGACACTAGTCATAGTGGATTAGGACCCACCCTCTTGACCTCATTTCAATTTAACTACCTCTGTAAAGACCCAGGTCCTGGGAGTCAGGACTTCAAGATATGGATCTGAGGGGGCGGAATTCAGCCCACAGCAGAGTCCGTGTGTAATCCTTGGGGCATCAGTTCTCCCATTTGTTGTCTGTGCTGACAACCCCTGAGCGTGGTTGGTAGTTGGTGGTAGTTTACTGTGCGTTCACCAACAGCAGCGTGTGTTGTTTTGTGGGGGTCTCGCTGGCGTGGGTTTCAGGAGTGCCCTAACTGAAGAGTCTATAGACAAACAACGGTGCCCGGGTGTCCCCTTCCGGGTCAGTGTATAGGGGAGTTTCTGTGGCGGAGGCTGCGTGCTCTGATTTCTCACTGGAGGGTTTTTATTTTCCCATCCAGGCTACAAGCCAGTGGCAGCTTCCACGGTGCTTCTTGTGTCAGTGACCAGATTTCTGGCCTTCTCTCCATGAAGGCGCAGCCCTTGGAGGACCCTAACTTTATTTTTTTAAAACTCAGTTCCAGCACCCACCTCTTTTGAGTGCAAAGTTATGCCCATCTCTTGTGGGCAAACACCGCTTCTAAGCGGGTTAAATGTCGTGTGGTATTTTCCAATGGGGAAACCCTTTGCAACCATGACAAAGAATAGGGCCTTTATGCATGGACTGACAGGGGAATTCTGAGTGAAGGAAGCACATGTGGGGTGAGTATAATCTTACTCCGCATGACTGAAATGCACAAATGTCTCTGGGAGGACTCACAAAACCTAGTAGCATTGCTGCCTCTGAGGGAGAGAGAAGTGAGACTTACCTGAAATTTCACTGTACAAACACCTGTTTTTCCCAGTAAAATAAATTCCTAAAATCCCAGTTCCTTGTCCTTTGGCTCTGTGCTCACCTCTCTAGTTTTGATCTCTGTCTTTATTTTTGGCACCTGGGAATTTCTCTTTCCTTCAACCCTGATTTTTTTCAGTTTCTGTCATTTTTAAAAATCAATGTCTGTATATTCAGAGCAAAAGAGGGACCAATAGTGTCTTTGCTCTCCATCTTCACCAAAGTCTAAAATTTCCCCAGAGACTTGCTTATTTGTAATTATCAGCAGTCAGTGGGTGTCTTTTGGAGCCAGAATTATAACGTGGGCCTCCTGTGACGTGACCGTTAATATGGTCTTCGCTGGCTCATTCTCTTAAAAGCCCCTTTTCCTCCTGGCCCCAGGCCTGCTGAAGTTTGCGGAGGATCTTGACATGGGAGGCACCAAAACACAGATCATATCCCTCGGCCAAGGCCAAGGCCCTATTGCGGCCAAAATGATCAACATCGCCATCAAAGAGGGGACCTGGGTGGTCTTGCAGAACTGCCACCTGGCCACGAGCTGGATGCCTGCCCTGGAGAAGATCTGTGAGGAGGTGATCATCCCTGAGAACACCAATGTCAGCTTCAGGTGAGAGGCTCCCACGCTGCCTGTCCTGCGCGGCTCAGCTCCAGGCACCATGTTGGTGGCAGGGAAGGTGAAGATAACCAGACACAGTTCTGCCCTTGGGAGGCTCAGTCTAGCAGAAGGCAGCCTGCAGAGGAACGATGTTCATGTTCTAAGAAGGGCCCTGGGACACGGAGGGGGAAGGGAGAGTCAGGGAGACCTGGAGGACTGATATTGGCCTGGGGTTTTGAAAGGTGAATAGGAGTTCGCCAGGAAGGACATTCCAAGGCAGAGGGGACAGCATTTGTAAAAAGCAAAGATGGTGTTAGGGAAGCACCAAGAAGCTATGCTGTGACCCTGGTGTGAGATGTTGAGGGGAGGTGATAGGAAATGTGTCTGGAAAGGTACATTAAATGTCAGCAAATCTGATGCTTAAAATTCTTTGTCTTTAAAAATATCTCACCTGTAGTCTAGGCTCCACTGTCCTTGCTCTGGCCTATTTCTCAGGCGCCATGAAACATGGAAACAGCCATGTGTTTCTGTGAGCTTTAGAGCCCAGCAAGTAGGCGTGGTTGTGCATTTGCAGATCGAGAAGACGGACCGGACAGGCTTCAAAGCCCCTTCCAACGCCCGTGTGCATAGTGCTCTTGGTCCAGCAGGGCCAGCCGTACAGCCGGGCCACACCCAGGCGACTGCTTGGTGTTATCTGGTGTATAAGCTAAGAATAGTTTTTACATTTTTTACTGGTTGAAAAAAATCAGAAGAATAAGACCTCATGACAGATGAAAATGATATGAAATTAAAATGTCAAAGTTTTGTTACGATACAGCAATGCTCACTTATATATTATCAAGGATCAAGGATGCGTTCATGCTGCAGGTAATGTGACAGCAACCATCTGCCTGCAAAGGCTGAGCGCTTACTATTTGATCCTTTACAGCAGTGATTCTCAACCTTCTGGCCCTTTAAATACAGTTCCTCATGTGGTGACCCAACCATAAAATTATTTTCGTTGCTACTTCATAACTGTAATGTTGCTACTGTTATGAATCGTAATGTAAATATCTGATATGCAGGATGGTCTTAGGCGACCCCTGTGAAGGGTCGTTCGACCGCCAAAGGGGTCGCGACCCACAGGTTGAGAACCGCTGCTTTACAGAGACTTTGCCAACTCTTGTTCTACCCCAAAGCCTGGTGGATGTTTTAATTTTAGTCATGTCTGCCTGAAAATAGGAAAGTGTTTAGTGTTTATTCACAAAGCCAGACTAGGCCATAGTTGACTCTATTCATGTAAGACTCAGGTGAGATTCATGGAAGAGTTTAAGTGGGATCTACTAGTTTCAAGAATTCTGTTTGGTTTGGGATGATGAGTTGATTCATTGACCATTAATGACACACTCAATGAAGAAAAAATTATTCATTAAGGTCCTCAATACTATGTTCCTAATCCAAAAGGCATGAGCTCAGGTACCTACAGGAGCCAGGAATGTGCCACAGATGTGGGAGGGGGACTGGCACAGGAATATTCTACTTTCCACACCACAGTAGCAGCCGCCCTGGCCGTCTGCCTCCGAGCGGGCACAACCAGGAGCGTGGGAACTCAGTAAGGAGAAGCCACGCCCTTAGGGACAGAAGAGCAGCCCCTGCTCGTGCGGCTGGTGTTGCCATGCAGGAACGCAAGCCTCCTGTGATTGGATGTTGTCGTATTTAAAGGGTATGTAGGGATCTAGAATTTTAAAAGAAAACCCTACATTTTTAAAAGTGGGCAATTACGTCAAAAATATGTTGCGGCATCGGGTTGGTTTTCTGGGCCTGAACTAGATGTCAGCCATCTGCAGACTAAGGTCAGGCCTCAAGCTGGCTGCGATAGCCTCTGCCCAGCTCCCAGCCCCGGGCCTGGACCCACCGGGCCGTGCCTCCTCCGGCCTCCTCGCCTGTGTGGACGCCCAGCTGCGTCCTGTGTTCCTAATGGCCTTCCGTGACCAGATTCGCCTGTTGTGACCTCTCTAAAGTCTAGCAAAGCAAACAAACAAAAACCTGCAAAATGAAACAGAACAGGCTGCCATGGAGCTCGGGTAGGAAACAGACGAAGGAAAGCTGAGACGCCGGTGCGCCGAAGTGCTAACTCGCTGAGGTGAAGTTGCCATCTTTTTGCGTCTACATCATTTGCATATGATCCCGTTTCTGTGGGCAAAGGAAGAAGCCTGCATACCTCCAGGGCCTGTTCCAAAGGCCGCCTCCGTGACTGCGGTCCGCAAGCTGTCTCTGTAAAGGGCCAGATCGTGAATATTTCAGGCTGTGAGGCCGCGTGGTCTCTGTTGCAACTACAGTGGGACCTTGACTTACGAGTTTAATTCGTTCAGAGACCGTTCTCATTAAGGAGCTGTTAAGGAGCTCGTTAACTCTAATTACTCTGTCAACTCAATGCAAAAAATCAGCCGAGAGACAGCTGGTATCTCAAAAAACTCATTAGTCCTTAGTCGGGACACTCTTAGGTCAAGGCCCCACTGTAATCAGCTGCAGGAAAGCAGCCCCAAGTCATATGTAAATGAAGGGGCAGAGCCAGGGCCCAGCACTGTATTTACAAAAGCAGGCCCTGCTGGACTCTGCTCCTGGCTGGGCCGATGGCAGACTTCTCTCCGCAATAGAAATCTCCTGTTCCCGTGGGGACAACATGCGGTCTTGGTTCAGTAATGCATTTACTGTGGCATCGGTTTGCTTGCCTTTTCTCCCCCGCCTGCCCCATTTCCTCTCTAACAGCAAGGCTGTGAGGAGCTGGGAGCTGGGAGTGGCTCACTTCAGCCTCTCCTGGGTGCAGGCTTTAGCTCGGCCAGTCCAGCAGGGCGGACAGGGCCTGGACAGCGGGAGCCCGGTCACCTCTCAGTTCAGCCACTTCTAGGGGGTGTGCACGTGAAACACCCACTCGGCATCCCCACGGAGGCAAAGCACGGGAAGGGACACGTTGGTTCTTAGCCTGGCGGCACTGGGCGGTGCTCAATGGATGGTGGCTAATATCTGTGTTACTGGTTTTTCCATTTAAGTTACTGCATTGCTCTAAGTAGTTGGGTCACTGTCCCTCCAGACTCTGGCTGACCAGCTACCCCTCCGAGAAGTTCCCAGTCAGCATCCTGCAGAACGGGATCAAAATGACCAACGAGCCTCCCAAAGGGCTGCGGGCCAACCTCCTGCGCTCCTACCTCAACGACCCCATCTCCGACCCCGTCTTCTTCCAAAGCTGCACGAAGGCCGAGATGTGGCAGAAGCTGCTGTTTGGCCTCTGCTTCTTCCACGCCATTGTTCAGGAGCGGCGGAACTTCGGGCCGCTCGGTAGGAGAGGGCCCCGGGCAGGGCAGGGCGCCGCGGGCGGGCGCAGGCTCTGCCCAGAGGGATGCGGGGAGGCACGGGAGACAGTGCGCCACACAGCCTTCGGGGCACACGTGTACTGAACAGGACTTGTTGGTTATCTGAAATTATAACTTTACTGAGGGCCCTGTATTTATATTTAATAAACCTGGCAACCCCAGAACCAGGTCAGTGTCGATGCCAGGAAAAGAGGTGTTGCTGAAGTCACGTGACGGTGAGAGACTCAGGCTTGAGATGCGTATGCACCCACTGGGGCACGGTGGCCATTATCCACAAAGCGCCACCAGGTAGTGTATAGCATGACAAGGAAAGAAATACGCTGGGACATGTTTGTCTGTGCTTCTCAAAAAAATAAAGGTGATGTTTTCACTAACATACCCAGCCATGCCTCACTTCACTAGATGCTGACGGGTTCCCATGAGAGCCGAGCAGCACACGCTGACAGGCTCCTGGCCATGGGCGGCCGCTGTGGCTGACCTGCTCCACAGCCTGGACGTGACCCTGCAGGGCCCTCAGTTCCCGCTCCTTAACCAAGAGGGAGCTGTGTCTGGGGTGCTCTGAGCATCCTCTTCCTTTCCCTGCACACCCGCCCAGCTGCACACGCGCCCTGGCCCTGCACAGAGCGGCCGGGACGGGCAGCCCAGGGCAGCGGCGGGCT